GACAGTGCACGTATGACAGTGCACGTTTTAAAGTGTACGTATGACAGTGCACGTTTTAAAGTGCACATATGACAGTGCACGTTTTAAAGTGCACATATGACAGTGCACGTTTTAAAGTGCACATATGACAGTGCACGTTTTAAAGCAGTAAGTGTGAGGAAGACGAGGGTGTGGTGCCGTGTTCAGGAAGGTTCTGGAGGCACAGAGCAGGTTTCTGAGACAAAGCCAGGACTGAGTGGACCCCCACCCTTCCTGTCCTACAGATTGTTCTGGGGGGGGGGGTATTGTTGGGTTCCTGACCCTCCCTGAGGGAAACACAACACTCCTCATGTTTACGGTTACAAACTGAACTCAGAGGAAACCCAGAACCTGTTCAGTTCTGACCCACAAAGTTTGACTCTGGGTCCAAAAGATCTGATCCAAGAACAGGGGATCTCTTAGGTCCTGGTTCAGGTCTTTGATGGATCTGGTCCTGGTTCCTAAAGAGTGTCAGGTCCAGTTTGATCAGAGTTTTAGGGACATCCTGGACACCATGTTGGGTTTTTATCCAACCAGGACCAACATGGAACCAGATCTGTCTTCAGACTCCAGCTGAGGGTCCAGCAGCTGAGGGTCCTCCAGCTGAGGGTCCTCCAGCTGAGGGTCCAGCAGCTGAGGGTCCAGCAGCTGAGGGTCCTCCAGCTGAGGGTCCAGCAGCTGAGGGTCCTCCAGCTGAGGGTCCTCCAGCTGAGGGTCCAGCAGCTGAGAGTCCTCCAGCTGAGAGTCCTCCAGCTGAGGGTCCTCCAGCTGAGGGTCCATCAGCTGAGGGTCCTCCAGCTGAGGGTCCTGCAGACCTCAAGTTTAAATGTTTGTTAGAATCCTGAGATCTAGGAGCAGAACATCCTGAACCCACCTACCCTGAGGACCACCAGAGACCAGAACAATACAAGTCCTGTTTACATTATGTGGATCCTGTGGAGCTACAAGACAGGAAACAGAAACAAGTCCAGTCTGAGCCGGTGCCTCCAGACCTGAGGTGGTCTCTATAGACCCAAAGACTTGAGCCAGTCTCTACAGACCAGAGACCTGATCTAGTCTCTACAGACCAGAGACCTGATCCAGTCTCTACAGACCAGAGACCTGATCCAGTCTCTAC